CTCGCAAATCTTACATGAACCACTCGGGCCAGTTCCTTTAAATTGTAACTTAAAAAAATAATGTACTTTGTTCATATAATCAGGCCTGTATTCATGTTTCACATTTAGCACTAAATGTGACTGTCTCATTCTGAATGCTATTTATCTATATTAAATGTAAAAAAGTTGCATTCAGCGTTATCACAGACTGATAATCACATGGCCGCATTTGACGCTAAATGTGCATTGTGTATATGGACCTTAATGTACATGTGCATCGTAAACAGTACACTGGATGCATAAGTCATTCCATGTCCATGCATTTGTTTTTTGTCGTCAATTATGTTTGAAATGAATATCATTTCAAAATTTTATACTCTTGCAATCCTAAGTACTTGAATTGTTGAAAACTTGTTAATAATTGGAAATAATATATGACATGGCATTTACTTGTATCATAAATAACAAGAACATTTTGTGATGAAAATTTTTTAATGCAATAGTACATTGAATATGTATATTATGCATGGGGATTCAGATAAATTTAATGTACGAGTATTTTTCTTTCTTTTTCTTTTGTTTCTTTTTTTCCCTTTGTTTTGCTTTGTTTTGTTGTTTTGTTTTACACAGAGATTATAAATCTCTTATCGACGAGAAATGTCTTTCGCGTATGTACAAGATACAACTTGTTGTAACTGGTTATTGAACAAAAATTGAACGAAAAATTTTATTTCTGCAACAATACATATCCTGAAATTGTTATTATTTGAAAAGAGAAAGAAAAAAAAATGAGACCTAAATTTTTTCACGGTTATATATATTCTAAAAGAAAGACTTGATCGTAAATACACAGTACAATTGCCACATATTTGATACAATGATATATATAAATATATATAAATATATATATATTTGATTGCGATATATATCATCTAAAAGATGTTGATTGAGCCAAGGTACAAGTATCGAGAAATTATTTTTTCAAAATCGATTTCTTTTGGGGATATAAAGGGTGTAAAGAATATTTAAGCAAATTTTCGCAGACTGATCGACAAGTCTATTGATGGAAATGACAAACGCCAGTGACTGAAAACTGATGGTATGGATATGAAATACGATTTTAAGCGTCTCATACTAATAATCTGTATTACCAAGTGCGTTGAAAGCGCAATTTTAATAACTACGCATTTCAGGTAAGAGTAAAAATAGAAGGAGACAACGAACCTCAACCAACGATCCCACGAGAAGAGGGTCAGGTGCCCTTTGTCTTCGTTGGCACTGTCGAAAGCATCGCCAATGCCAAAGTTCTGTTGGAATATCATTTGGCACATTTAAAGGTATAACTATATGTCGATGCTCTCGGATCCCGATCCTCTGAAATCTCTCTATATATAAAAATATATATGAAACGGGATATCGCGCAGAAAGGAGTTGCAAAATAAAATTGAATTTAATCGTATGATTATCGTGTGATTTATACCGTAGGAAGTAGAGCAGCTCCGGCAAGAAAAATTGGAAATTGATCAACAACTACGAAGTATGCATGGATCGACTACAGGACCGATGCCCAGCTTTCCTCCCACAAGACGAGGAATGGTTGCAGGACCCGAAGAGGGTATCAGCGGTCGTGGCGGTCGCGGTGGCCAATCTCGAGGACGCGGTTCTCGGGGTAGAGCTCCTACCAGACACAATGCCGGTAATGTTACAAAACGTACTAGCATGGACGTATGGAATTGAGGGAACGGCATGGGTTCCTCACGTGCCAAAATATTAAAATGACAAACGTAATCATTTATCATGTAATATAATATTTACGTTTTGAATGACGTGTCTCGAACGTTTGTCTCGATTCTGATTAGCTTTTTTTTTTTACCATATCTGATAAGTTAGTCAATGGGTGATACGAGATGCAAGTAAAAATATTGCAACTGCCTACATGTATCAGAAATCTAACGATTGACCATACGTCTTTTAGGATTACGTAGAGATACTTTGGACGGCAGTGAAGATCGCGTTCGGGATTTACCGCCAAGAGGTGGTCATCAGGGAGGTGCCGGTAATTCAGGGTATATGAGTGGCAGACAAGGTCGTCCTCCAACCCAGCGTAGAGATCGTAGAGACGAACGTCGTCGTACTACCGATGACGAAGACACTGTTTTAGACAGCCAAGACGTTTCAAGCATTGATAGAGGTAACAATAATACTTATTGGTCGCGCGCGTGCGTGCGTGCGCACGCGCGCGTATACGCGTGTGCGTGTGTACGCGTGTGAAAGACACGTGTTTATGACCAATGCCCCCCATAACCGTTTCGTCCTAAAGACAGAGCAACGTGTGACGTATCGGAATGCTTTGTGAAATTAGCATGTGACGTGGAGCAAACTCTTGTGACCATCTAACACTAATGTTATCGTCAAATTTACATAAATATATATTCTATTGCATGCTACTAACGTATGCAGTGCAGCTTTCGCTATCTGTGATCAAGTCGCTTCTTTTAAGTGTCACGTGAGAGTCCGACGGATGGTCACAATGGTTTGTGTATGTATAGAGTCAGTATCGAGTGTGGAGGGAGGACCTAAAGGAATAAGGCGAAGACGACTAAGGCGCTCGCGGCAACGAAGCTCAACGCCAACGAGTGCTAGCCAGACAGGTAGGCGCCTATCCTCTCGCCTCCGTCACAGTATCGAGCTCGCGTCGTCATCTCTTTAGGACGATCGGTTATATTTTATATATATTTATACACACACACATATATATATATATATATATATATATATATATATACACACATACGAAGAGGCAGTCTTATACTCGTTTTGCTCGGTCTTGCTCGATCGGTAGGCTGACGCGCACACTTGTATATGTATATGAAAACATTCAGAGTTAATCTATATACATTTGTTTAGGCAGTAATGCCGGCCCGTGTGACCAATCGACCATGAATAGCAAGGAAGGAACACCCGCGAACGACGTATCCATGTCTAACAACAGTTCGCAGGGACCTAAAGGCCAAAGAGAACATCGGTCTCGTCCTCCTCGTATGCAGCAGAGCAATAAGCCTAAAGAAGCTCTGGTTAATGGTACCAGTGGCTAAGCAACTACGTTGCGTTGTCGCCAATCGCCAATCGCTACTAACGTTGCTACGTTACACCTGATGAGAGCTATTAACTCCCAGCACGTAACATGACGCATACCGACGCAAGGACTACACGATTATGGAACGCGACATGATTAGTCTACGCTCGTTGTTAAGACTGTTTGCTACCGACATAAGAATACGACAATTGTTTAAGAAATCGTCATTCTCCTTAAACACATTTAAGGACACATAATATTAATATCCATGCATGGTTTAGTTTAATGATGGTACGTACACTGTCATGTTTGATATACGGATACATTCATTGGGAGATAGAGGAGTAGCATTTGGTAAGAAGGATTCCCTGATTGTGAAACTGTGCCTCATTTTTATACCAAGCTCCCAACTTATGTGGCAGTGCTTTGGATGTACCGTATGGTATACCTTGGTCACTCGTTAACGTTTAACGATCCAATATTAGGCTGGATAACGCGCGCGGCTCGTACGTCAATTATCGCTCTGGATAGGATTTTCATCTAGATATGTCGCACACAGTACTTACACAATATATACAAAATTCGGTATTCGCAGTGTGATGTTTCGGTATCGTTCCGATATCGAGTTTATTTAATTTAGCTTAATAGAGTCTGAAATCCGATGGGCAAATGATTCAACATACTTTTCACAAATGTTCCGTATTGAGGTAAAATATGTATTGTTGCTTTGATATTTTATCACTTTATTACTCGACCCGCGATAATCTCGTCGATTATTCTGATACGCGCTATCGCGGAGGTGATTATGAAAACCGACAAACGAATGCGACATAACTAAGATGCAACTCGATGCGGTACAAGGAAAATGGATTTCCGTTGTTATTTAATTGTAACAATGGGTAGGCGGCAGCTCCAAGAAATTCTGGTTCGAAGGCAATTCCCAATGATGTTCCTTTCTATTTACTTGAGGAAATTGAGTTTTTGATTTACACGTATTAGTAGAGTTATTTAACAACACTAGATTTTTACGTTTCAAAGCTGAGTGTTGATTATAATAGCATCATGATGATGGCGAAAATGACTTGTTCGAATCTAACACGGTCAGATGTGCACACAAGGAGTCGGTTTTCAATTTCCGAATACACTTTTCACGTAATTTAGCGTCTTTCTTTTTTTTCTCTTTTCTTTCCTTTTCTTTTAATTGTTATATATATTATATTTTTTTTTTACTTTTACTACAGTCTAAGCATACTATATCAAACTTTAGGATTCGATATCGAGTTTTTTTCTGCATTGTTTCGCATGATTTAAAAAGAAAGTAAACGTATACTTAGTAATACCAATGTATGATGTGCCAGAGAGAAGGAATGATACATGTTTTATGATATCTAGCTAAAGTGCAGACTTAGCGCATACCTTTATTACTATAATACTACTTAGTCGAAATGTGGATGTCTGAACAAATAAACTAGCTTTACTATACTAAGCTATAAAATAGATATGATCAATTGTTTTAAATTGATTATCAACATTTATTAAAAATCAGTTGTCAATTTAAAACAGTTGTTTCTTCTTCCGGATATGACAACAACTAATCGGACGTGTCTCATGAATTTTGCAAAAACACATGGCGGTTGATGCAATATATCGACACCTAACAAAACAGCTGTCATTTTATCTGAATATTCTTATGGCAGCCAAAAAACTGAGATATCCCCCAACTTGCTTGTTTCAGATACATTTGTATTGATTGCAATTTGTGCATAATTTAAGAATAAAACATTTCTGTACATAGACTGGCAATTGGTACGATGAACCTTGAATTTCCTTTAATATAAACGATGCGACACATTTTACTTGTAAAATTGTACGAATAGTATCTCTTCCCTCCCCCTCTGTCTCCCTCTGCCTCCCTCGCTCACTTATTAATAATTACTCACACACGTGGGGGTAACCCAAGTAGTTAGATTTAATTATTTCAATTAAACTTGTTTAATTTTACATTTTATTTGATTAAATCTAATTAATTTAATAAATAAAACGCATATGTGTGTGTTAGTAAAAGACTGTTATTAATTAAACAACACGTTTGTAATGATCTTTCGTTGCTTAGGAAAAACATTGAACGTTTTGAACGCGATTATTTCCGCACGTGTATATATATATATTTATATATACGTGAGGGTGTGTGAATGTTACATGTTCGTGTTCGTACCAGTTCATTTTCCGCACGTGATGAGAAGGAAAACTTTTTCCGCGTTAAACACACATTTACAATAAATAATTAAATAAAACTTCAACTGTAAACAATGAAATTTAGACCTTGTGTAAATAAGCAACTTTAAGGAAGAAGGGTACATTGCGCGTAATTGGCCGTCAGTCTGTTTACATATATCTGTCCGTATACATGATGATAGTTTCAGGTACAGAAGTGAGATAAGATTGAGTCTCTCGCGCGCGCGCGATGATCAGTGCAAGCTCAGTGTATTCCCGCCGAGACCCTGTTCTTTCCGCCACTGAGCCAATCTGATAGCGTACCATCCCTGAAACAAAAGCCAAGAACTGTAATGTATCTTTATGCCAATGTAAAACTTTACTCGCTCTCTACTCCTTTCGTGTATCGTAAGACTCTTTTTTTCTCTCTCTCTCTCTCTCTCACTCTAATTATCTCTTGTATTTAATATTATACTTACGTACTCTCGATATGTATTAAGGTGTTAACTCACTTCAACGTCCGCCTCGGGAAGACCTGTTTCAGCCGCGAGGAGTACAATGTCCGCGGTATAAGGTGCTCTTGGCCACCTGTTAAACTGCTCTTGAAGAACCGCTTCCTGATTCACCGTCAAGCGAATCACTCGAGTACCGGTCCTACCAACTCCGCTGGTAGAATATCGTGTGGGATAAGACTTGAGCATGTTGCCCCTATGAAAAGAAGGTGTATTTCGAATCAACGAAAAAGTCAACTGATAAAAAAGAGAGACGAGCTGCAATGTAATACGATATAATATACAATTAAGGATAGATAAGATGATACGCACATTGGTGCGGCCATTTTGCTTATTTTGTGACTTATATTTTATGATTTATCAAGGCTTTAAAACTCCTGCAGTTTCCTTTTCTTCCTCTTTTATAATATATATAATAAACTCGCGCAGTTGATAGTTGGTGCAGATAAATTATAATTGATTATTGATATTGATAAAATTCAAGGAGATGCAATATGTGTTTTCCTCAATAAAGGCATGTAAAATAAAGGCACGCGCATTGCGCAATGAATATGACAAATATACTTTTTAGAAGCATTTAATAATTAAAGCGGCACTCTTGTAAGGGCTATAAAAGAGCCGATTCTCGAAATCGCGTGACTTGTTGCTTCCTTTGACGCATGCGGACGCGGAGATGACTCTGATTGTAAGCCACGACGGACGGCCAGTATGTACATACCGATATATACCATATAGAGTGCCGCTATATAAATATAAAAGTTCTGTAAGATTTCAGCAGCAGTGGGGTACGTACGGCGACAAAAGAGAGATGATTCATTGTGACGTGAGACGCGAAGCCGCAAATATGGGTCTTGTACAGTTGTATAATATTTTAGACTTTTAAAGTGACACGTGCAATCGCTTTAGCGCTCTGCCCCATCGTAAAATGCGCTCGCTAACACGTATACGCTGACGGGACGGATCGGCTTTTCTCAACATAACGACTTCTTGTTACAGCATGCAGAGCCGTGTGTGTCTAATAATGAATATGAAAGCTGTGTCCAATCGTGCTCTCACAGAGGTGTATACACATAATATATATATATATATATATATATATATATATATATATATATA